TGGTGGAATCCCTGCAGGGTAGGATGAGGGTGGGGGAAGAGGAAGAGGGTGGGGGAACGCCGGGAGGCTATCCCTCCCCATGGATTGACTTGTTGAGAAAGATCGAGGGGAATGGGTGAGGATGCTGGGAGACGCTAAACGGGAGAGAATATACACAAAAGGTGGAGTGGGTGTTGGAGGTCGGAAGGCTACAGGTCACCGGTTGGGGTGTGAAAATGGGCTACTATGAAGGTCTGGGGGATCCCTTGCAGGAGGATGCAGGGGGGGAAAGGAACCCCCGAAAAAGCACGGACAGGAGTGCAAACAAATCGAAACGGCCGCCGTGTGTGAGGGAGGGAAGGGCGGAGAGGGACAATACCTTCCCTTCTGTATTGCATCCAGGCGGCGGGATTTGATATGGGATCCCGAAGAATGCGAATGGCCGAGACAAAGAATGCAAAAAGGACAGACGTGCCGCTCCAGAACCTTACTTCCAAGAATGTCTGTAGACTCGTTACTGGAGCCGGCAAACATCTGTGAGGAATTGAGAACTCGATGGGCCAAGAGAAACTGGATCCCTGACGTATATTTCAGTAGATGGACACCACGAAGGTGGATTGAGCAATTTGCACTTCTGGCAGCCCTGCCAGATAAGGACCAGGCAGGCCTGCCAGATAAGGACCAGGCAGGCCTGCTATGGCAGCTGTACCATCTAGCGATCCCTGCGGCGCAGTGGTTGGCAACAAAGAGCCGACGCAAGGACCGGAGATGTGCGGCAGGTTGTGCAGTGCCCCGCTTGTTTGTACGATGCCCCATAGTGCAGGCCTTTTGGGAGTGGTGGGCACGAGAGAGAGCGGATAAAACCCCGCTTGAGGTCACGGAGGAGGAGGATGCAGCTATCCAATTCGGGGCACTGATGAAGTGGACAGGGCAAAACCGGAAGGACCTGACGGCAGCCGAAATTGTAATGGCAGCGGTGTTTGCGGGCCTTGTGGACACTGAGGAACGAGCGCTGTAGACAGGATACCTCTCCCACGCTGCAGGTTTACCTGTATAGGGCGCTGGAAAATATTCGGGTGGCTCTCCTGACGTATCGGCATTGTAGCAGAAACACAGGAGAAGGGGCGGAAGAGCGGTTCTGGGCCAGATGGGGCTCATACCCGCAGCTGCTCGCCAGAGACTCCCAGACGGGCCGCATGCTGTTCGGTCCACCACTTCGACGTCAAAGACCCCGCTCAGACACGGAGAAAGAATCCGAATAGGGAACTGACTAGTTAAGGAGAGGCAACCAATAAGTATAGTGTTTCGGGGGGGGGGGGGGGGGGGGGGGGGGGAGAGAGAGAGAGAGAGAGAGAGAGGGGAAGGGCCAAAGGACGAGGGGAGGGGTAGGATGGATAGGGGGGGGGGGGGGGGGGGGGGGGGGGGGGGAGCGGCGTAGGTGGTAATTAGAATTTGTTAGTTAGGGCGGCAAGTGTACAATATTAGGGGAAGGAGATTAGAGCAGAGGGAGTACGGCCAAAGGACAAAGGGAGGGATAAGGTGGACAGGGAGGACGAGGGGAGGGATGGGTGAACAGTCATTACAATATATCAGAAACATAAAAAATAGTTTAAAATACAACAGAAACACCAAAAAATTCACAAAAATACTAAAAGGAGAGTACAGGGACAGGAAGTCAATGCAGGGTTGAAGGCGCTGGGAGGATCGAGGATACATTGTATAGCCGAAATAGGTTTAGGGAGCAAGGTACACAGAGACAGCAAGTGACATGCGGGCTAGCTAAGAGAGAGGTATACAGTGAGGGATGGCAAGGTAGCCCAAATAGGTCAAGACAGATAGCATGGTAGCTGAGACATCATGGGTAGATTAAGTAGAAAGTGATGATATCATAGTCTGTGGAGTTTGATAAGCGGCCGAGGAACTGCAGGGGAGGCCCCTCCCCTCACCCCGTGTCTCTGAGGGACCCCTGCTGCGTATCTGGGCTCTGCTAGGAAGCCTCCCGGCCAGCAGGGTGGCCTCCAGAGAAAGACCATGGTTTGGGGGGGTGGGCCCCCTTTAGCAGGTCCCCCTTAGTAAACGATCAATGCCACAAGGGTTGGGCTGTTCCCCTTTTCTGATCTGATTTCCCCTGTGGCATTGATCGTTTACTAAGGGGGGACCTGCTAAAGGGGGCCCCCTTTAGCAGGTCCCCTTTTTTCTTTGGATGTACAAACATGCTTGCCGGTGATAAGTAACCGCCGGTGATAAGTAACCGGACTGCTGCCCCCCAGAAGAGAAGGGGCTTTGAAGTTGTTAAAAAA